ACAATGCAGTCATTTTGACTGCTTTGGGCAATATAGGTATATACTAAGTTTCAGTCTTTCTAGTGTTAATTGAGATCCTGTCCTATACTATATCACATTCTATCGTTCAGCGTTCGATCTCATGAATAAACCCGAAGGGTCACGTCAATTATAAATTGGAAACGGATTCGGACACGTGGAATCAGGCTATTCTGCTCCCATAATAAGAATCCCTGGATAGTAGGCCGCAGACAATGACTGCAAATGTCAGTCTCACCATTAGCATTGATCACGTTCGATCTCTCCTCCTTGGCTCGACGAATTTTGTTCGATGGAAATCGGACTAGCATCCAACTAACATCAAAAGCTGCTGTTACTACTGTTACTGTCATGCCTCGTCGCGTTCAATGGCATTTTGGCCATAGCAGTCGCAATCAAACCAGAATATCGAGATCACTCGGTTCTCATAACATCCGTGGCATTATTGGTGGTAGAAATAGAACATTTATAATAGAGAACGGCGCTTAAAGGTTGCCCGGGCTCGCCAAAGGTGAAACCAATTAATTTCAACTTTAATTTAAGATTGAAGTCTTCATCCAACAGAATTCAATTTACAAATAAATAACCTGATCAGAAGTAGTGTATTAAAATATAATGATTGCTAAACGATAAATTATATCCAATTTTACGTACTATTCTTTCCTGACTGTAACAATCAGCTATAAGTGGAAGAGATCTTTAATCAGTTCACACGCTGATGTAATAGAAGATGTTCGAACGTGGGTCAATCGACGAAGAACAAAACCGTGGACCTGAAGCTCATCGATCCGCGCGCGATAATTGGAGCGACGAGACGATCGGCTCGCATCTTTTACAGCGACCGCAAAGGTCACGTTCGCCGCGCTCACGCTCACGCTTTGTCTGCACAGGCACTGGAAACCGTATTAATCCCTGAGAACGTGACTCTTTCCCAGCCTAGTTCTCTAGACCCGTTGCGATCGGTTGCTTCACCCATCGAAGACGACGCGACCGCCCACGATTTTTCGACCGGGCAACAACTCTCGGCAAGAGTTATTTCAGAAATTCGAGGAGGCGTCGCGACGGCCGCCCGCGTTTCAACCGAGCGAGTCATTCCTTAATTCACGGCACAATGGTAAGACCGACGTACTAATCGACGCAATAAGTCGATAATTGCGGGGTTTCTACGGCTGAAACATTCAGGCCAATTATACCGTAGGTTGAAGATCACGCCTGCTCGCTCGGTTATCTGTTGTGTTACTCGTCCCCGTTTATCGGAGGAGAAATCGCAAATTACGCTAATTACACCGCGTTTGTGTTCGCCTAATCGATTCCTTTGTTCCACTCGCGACTGAAACAACCTCGCCTGTTTGTCTCCCTCGTGCAAGTTAACTACACCCTCTGTCACAAGAGTACTGAGAGAATTCTTTAACGCAATGATAATTATCTCGTTGCCAGTTACGAAAATGTTACGGATCACGGAGGATGAAACGTTTTCGTGAACGATGGCGAAGATCCCGGGGTTGGGGACGGAACGATCGAACTTTGCCCGTCGACACAAAGCGGACCACCGTTGAATGACAAAAGTTCTACCATGAAAGACGACCCTCTCTCCGGTTACGAAGCTCCATACCGTAAAACCAGGTCGTGACGCCGACACAATACACCCCCCCGGTTGGTCAAACACACGAACCGTGCTGACGAACCGAATCGACGAATCAATCCCTCCGATTTTCCCCGTTCAAGAGTCAAAGGAACGGTGAATTCACTCGTGAAACGGAGAAGCATTAACATCCGCGCAAGACAGAGAGAGAGAGAGAGAGAGAGAGAGGGAGGGAAGCGGAGAGATCAATGGGAAAAAAGCTGCGCCAGATTCTCCGATGGAAATGATTGTTTCACAACGAAACGACGCCGTTGAAGGTCAGGCCCAAAGGACCTAACGGGGTGGGTGTGCCGGATGCTGACCTTCTTCTTGCACAATCGTTCGGGCTGCACCATCAGCGGATATGATTTGAAGGGATCAACGGGGGCGCGGTCGCGATTCCTAGAGCCGGTATATAAAGTCCGCCCGACTCGTCCGTGGGCACACTCGGCAATCGGTCGGTCGCCAAGATGAAGGCATTCGTAAGTATTCCGTGGGATCGCCACCGAACTGGATTTACTCAACGTTGGAAACCCGGCCTGACCTATCATGGAACCCCGAACCTTTTCCCAAATCGGTGAACGTGACTCCGTCCGACTTCTGATCAAAAGATTCTTGTCGTTGGATACGTTCGAATTTTATTTAATCAATATCAAAATGGGAATTCTCAAATCTGTGAATACTCGCAGTTTAGCTTCAAATTTCGATGAACAAGTGCCTGGCTCATTATTAAACTTGACCTCAGTATATAAAATTAAGTGTCAAATATTAGTAAAAATTCTAAATACCAAATCGATATTCCATTTAATAAATTCCCTCACCATTGTCATAATTAAGTCAAATATAATCATCTTATGTTTAATTAAAAAAATACAAACTACTCACCATTAATTAAATTCGATGCGTCATTCTTTTCAGTTGATTCTGATAGGTCTGTTCGCCTTCGTCGCAGCTGCACCGCGTCAGCGTCGCGAAATTTGGGGTGGATACCCTGGCCACTACGGAGGACACCTTGGATACCATGGTGTGGCAGTCGCTGGGCCAGCTCTGGGACCGACTAGCGTCGCCGGTCCGCACATCGGGGCAACCATGGTGGCTGCTCCGTCCATAGGACCAGCGAAGCTTTCTGGATCGGTCGCCGGACCGGTACACGTTTCCGGTGCTGTGGCTGGCTCAGCTGTTGTCACCGCTTCCGTTGCTGGGCCTGCGCACGTCGAGGGCTACGGCGGTCCCTATGATGGTCAGTGTCAATAATAATCCAAATAATTATAAAATGCAATTGTTGGCTAATACTTAAATTTTATCATGATTAAAAATTTAATTCGAGAAATTAGTCATACCAAGATTAAGCACTTGTCATCAATTTTCAATTATCTATACTTTCAATCGTTTTCAAATTAATTAAATT